AGGAGATTTCACACAGTTCTAACACCATATCAGACCATCTCACAGGCTGAGACTGAAGCCCAGGGATGGGTCAGCGGTGGGGTGGTGGGCAGGTCTCCCTGCTTGAGTGTGCATATCTTTGCCCTCTATTTAAACTTGGATCTCACTTCAGGTCCTGGAAGACAGGGGGCTGGGGATGGGGGAGAGGGGTGTGCTCTAGATCTTTCTGTCCCCATGTGTACACATTGAATAAATCACCTTTTTCTGCATTCCACTATTTAGCTCTTTTTACTGGTTCACTAGGGACCGGTGGTTGGACCCGACTTTGGGCACAGGCTGTGACTCCCGAGTTCAATAACACTGCTTGTGCTGTTTATTTTTTACTAAGTTGACCACACTGGAGTCGCTTGGGGAAGGGAACTTCAACTGAGAACTTGCCTCCTTTAGACTGGTTTCCGCACGTGTCTGTGGGCAAGCCTTTGATTCTTGATTGATGTGGGGTGGGCCTATGTCACAGTAGGACATGCTCCCTCTGGGACTGTGGTCCTGGTTTGTATAATAAATTATGTTAAGCCAAACTATGAGTAGCAAACCAGTGAGCCTCATTCCTCCTGCTGTAATTAGGGTTTCTATTGCTGAGTTGCAACACCATTACCAAGCTTATACTTGCTCATCATGGTTCATCATTGAAGGAAGGAGTCAGGATAGGACTCAAGCAGGAACCTAGAGGCAGGAACTGATGCAGAGGCCATGGGGGAGTGCAGATTTTCTCCTCAAGACTTGCTCAGCCTGCTTTCTTATAAAACACAAGACCACCACCCCAGGGATGGTACCACCCACAGTGGACTGGACCCAATGCCAGTGACTACAGCTCAATCTTATAGAGGCATTTTCTCAGTTGAGGCTCCCTCCTCTCTGATGACTCTAGTTTGTGTCAAGTTGACAAAAATCTAGCCTCATTCTCTATTTCCATTATTACCTCCAGGTTCCTGCCTTGAGTTCCTGCTTTGGCTTTCCTTGATGATGGGAACTTGTAAACTAAATTAATACTTTGAAGCCAATCTATGCCTCTCGTGAAATAGTTCCTCCAGCAAGGCCGTACTTCCTAAACTTATCTAGGCAGTGTGACCAACTGAAGTGGTTAAATACCAGAGACCATGGAGGACATTTCATCCAAACCAACACATGCGCCTCCTTGATGGGTGTGATTCTTCATATAAAGTGTATGGAGGGCCCCCAAGCCGCACACATGAAACGAGATGTCATCAGTTGTGTGCCTTTGCTGTGAGTGATAATACACGTAACTGGCACTCACCTGTCTTCTGAGAAAGAGCTGGTGAGGGAGAAATTACAGTGCGAGAAAGGATTGCAGGCAGGGTCCTCTGTATTAGTATCTGATTGGGCAGGAAATCTAGAAAGGGAGGATAGAGGTGTTCCTACAGCTGAAACTTTTTAAGGGAAAGGGGGTGAAGATTAAGTGTTCTAAGGGGCTCTTCCTGGGATCCAAAAGCTTGAAAGCGAAAGGAACTGTTGAATAGTGAGAAGGAACAGAAGAATAGGGTAGACATGATATGCCCCTCAGGTTTGATCTCTAACACCGAAGAAGGGAAAAACTCCAAGACTCAGCATGCAAATGGGGGTCTCAATAATAATGACCCAGTACAAGAAACTATGGAAATCAGGTATCACTCAGCGTATGAACTGTTTGATTCTGGAAAGACTTGTATGGAAGTAAGTTCTTAAAGCCTCTCAAAGCCTGATTCTTGAGATGGCAGAGTGCGGAGGCTCAGGGGCAGCCTGAAGACAGTGGAACCGGAAACACTGAGTAGCTCACCTCCACACTCGAGTCTTAAAGACGCAAACCTCAGGGTGGACTCAGCAGCCAAGGCAGTATCAGGAAAACCGGTTGCTGATGGGCTGTTCCTACAAGCCACCACGGGCAGTTTGTTTTCTCGTGTGATTCTGCCCTGTCAGTTCTCGTTCCGGATATCAAAATCTTTTCCAGTGTTTAAAAGCATCAGTGCATGCTCTGGACACTGACTGAAAACAGGCCACGGTGTTCAACTTTAATAGCAATTTTTCTACACAAGAAACAGGCAAAGGCTTTACAGAGCTGGCTTAACCAGTTTTCCATTTTGAGAACTGATTAGAAAAACAGAAATTTGATTTTAAACTTGCTTAAATGTTGCCTACTGTAGAATGGACAGCTAGGAAATACTGCCTAACTTACTAGACCAGAGATCTGACTCCAGCCCCGGGTTCTGCCTGATTCAATCCTGGCACAAAGGCCGAGACATCAAGCAAACAGGAGGATATTTGGGGAAGTAGATCAGCCGATACTGTGGAGTGGGTAACTAGCCGGTTCAGAATGAGGAAACTGCCGGAAAACTAAAGGAAATCATACGTTTTAAAAGTTTGTTACCTGATTTCATTCACGCTTTTTACGGTTGCCTCCTATTCAGATGCCAGCATGAAGTGCTTAGTCATAAAAAGAAGGTATGTGCCAAACGTCATTTACTACCAACTCTTACGAAAGAACAGTGTTGTGCAGCACACATTGCATTTGGCACAGACTACCTTTTATTTTGATATGCATGCCCCATTTGTCTCTTACTGTGCAATTTCATAATTATGTTTTAGGAAAATATTGTCACTTAACCACATTTATTTATTTTTTCTAGGACAGCCAGGACTAGATAGAGAGATGCTGTTTCAAAAACCCAAAAAGAAAAAGAAGAGAAGAGACGAGAAGAGAAAAGAAAGGGGGTTCTACAGATTCTCTCAAATTCATCTAAAAATATCTGTAATGGTAGTTCCAGAATAGGATGAGGGATGACAGTCAAGTCTTCAAGTTTCCATAAAATGAAGTTTTTTAAAGTTTCTATAGACAAACACATTTCAGTATTCCATTCAAAGGTAACTGTGCAAATAGTTAATGAACCCTCCCTATTGTCCCTTCGTTCAGAGGCAGTCATGACAAACAACTAACCGAGACTTCCAGGGAAAGAATTCTAGAAGCTGCCACATGATGTGGTGAGTGAGGAAAACCAGGACAACCAGCGGTATTCTTAAGGGAGAAATAATACAGGGGCCGCAGGAACCCCGAAGAAGGACAGCACCCCTGAAAAGTGCCAAAGAAAAGAAGGGGAAAGGGGTAAGGAGGACCAAGGGGAGAACTCAGCTGTGCACTGCTTGCAGGAGCTGTAAGAAAGGAAGGAAGGAAAGAAGGAGGGAGGGAGGGAGGGAGGGAGGGAGGGAGGGAGGGAGGGAGGGAGGGAGACAGACAATACATGGGACAATTATCCTTTCTCCAAAATTCACTCACCTTCCCATGACAAACAAAACTTAAAATGTGCAGGAATTACAGCCGTTAAAAATAATGACATCGTGAAATCTGCAGGCAAATAGATGGAACTTGAAAAACCATCTTGAGTGAGGTAACCCAGATCCAGAAAGATAAACATGGTACGTACTCACTTATAAGCGGTTATTAGTTATAAAGTGAAAGATGACCACGTTGTGCTCCGCAGAACCAGAGAGACTAAATGGCAAGGAGGGCTTAAGGAGGGGTGGGGGATGGAAGGATCTCTGCAGGAAAGGGAAATAGAAGAGATCTCGCAGGTGGATTATAGGGGCAGGTGGGGCTGGGAACAGGGGAGATCAACTGTGCAAGGTGGGGGTTACACTAGGAGAAATGACTGGAATTGGGAGGTGGAAAAACTAATATAACAGAAAGTCCATGGAGTCTACAAACGTAAGCTTAGCAAAGATTCCTACTAATGGGAGACACAGAGCCTGAATCAGCCATCTTCTATAACCAGGCAAGGCCTCAAGTAGAGAGACTGGGACACTGGCCCAGCCACAAAACCTTTGACTTCAGTGTGTGCTGCCTGCAGAGTATCCTGGGACTCAAGCCTAGCAAAATTGTCATCAAAGAGACCAGAGAGACTTCATCCACAAAGGAAAACATTGAACTGGGGCTGACTTACAGTTCAGAGGTTTAGTCCATTATCATCATGGTGGGACATGGCAGCAGGCAGGCAGACATGGTGCTGTAGAAGAAGCTGAGAGTTCTACGCCTTTGATCCACAGAAAACAGGAAGTTAGCTGAGACACTGGTGTGACTTGAGCATGTATGAGAACTCAAAGCCCTCCTGCTCAGTGACACACTTCCTTCAACAAGGCCACACCTACTCCAACAAGGTCACACCCCCTAAGAGTGTCACTGCCTATGAGCTTATCACAGTCAATTACATTCAAACTACTACAGTGTCTGACCTAGCGCCTCTACCTATGTGTCAAAGCGGAGTAGCTTGGTGTCATTGTGGAATTCCTAATAGTGGGTGCAGGGGTTGTTGGTGACTCTTTTTCCTCCTACTGGGTTTGCCTCATCCAGCCTTGATGTAATGGTGTGTACCTAGTCTTATTGTAGTGTGTTATGATGGGTGGATGGATGAATAGATAGATAGATAGATAGATAGATAGATAGATAGATAGATATAGGTAGATATGATAAATGTTAATTTTTTTATTTTTCTAGGCAAGGCTTCTCTGTATTGCTTTGGAGGTTGTCCTGGAACTTGCTCTGTAGACCAAGATGGCCTCAAACTCATAATGTTTTTATAAGAAGCAAATGAGATGTTATTTGTAAAGCACTTAAAGGAATAATATATATAATACTATTAAAACTATTTTCAATTATTGAAATCCCTCCCCCATTTTTTTTCTTTTGGGTTTTCGAGACAGGGTTTCTCTGTAGTGTTTTGGAGGCTGTCCTGGAACTCACTCTGTAGACCAGGCTGGCCTTGAACTCACATAGATCTGCCTGCCTCTGCCTCCCGAGTGCTGGGATTAAAGATGTGCGCCACCAACGCCCTGCTCCCTCCCCCATTTTCAAGATATAGGTTGCAAATTCATAAAGTGTAAAACTACTATTCCATGACAAAAAAATGTTTCCATATCCAAGATAGGAATGTGAGCTTTCTGTTGCTGTGATAAAAAAAACATCTGAAACTGTCAACTTAAAACGTAAAAACTTTTATTTGGGTTCATGGTTTCTGGGATTTAAGCCCATGGTTGTTTGGCCGTGTTGCTTTTGGTGTGGTGGTCACATCATAACCTGGAATGACCTTGTGACAGAGGAAGTCTGTTCCCCACGTGACTGATTGGAAGTAAAGAGAAAAAAAAGGTGGCTATCATCCTAATCTCTCCTTTAAAGGCACGTCCTCCGGAACCTAACCAGCCTCCACTAGGACCCACCTTTTTCAGGTCCCACTGCCGTCTCCCAGCAGTGTCAAGGACTTGAAGAACAAGCCCTCAATCCACGGGTCTTTGAGATACATTCAAGATCCGAAGTGTGCCGGTGTGACTGGTAAGAGTGAAGCAGG